AAACACAATTGAATCTAAACTACAACTTAGCTGATATTTTTTATTCTGCCACAGCCTTCACACGTACGCGGACGCACGTCAGGCACATTCATCCTAGAGAACTAAATACTCTTCGCTGCGGTGCTTCCAGAAAGATTTGTTTGTTAATATTTTTTAGAGCGACTACTCAAACGATTAGTTTTTTTACACATTTCAAGTAAGAAAAAACATTTCAGATAATTTTAGATGGACACAAGATAAAGACTGTATCATCTGAGGCCGTTAGCCGATATCTATGAAGGAAGATTTTTAAACATTATGTACTGGCCGGATATGATAGAGGCAAGGTTATCATTTTAGGGTACTTCCATTCAGATCCGCCCACTTTATACAGACCTAACAGCCGAGAAGATTTCAATACCGGCAGCGTGTAGCGCATAAAAAGTTACCCGTAGAACATTAGGCTCATTTTTCAAAAAACATGTAGAAGATGATTTTGCACAGGTCCAAAGTAAGAATAGGGAGAAGTTCAAGATAAACAAACGGTAGTCAGATCCATTTTACGCTGGTTTTGCCCATATGTAAAACGACTGTACGTGCTACAACTACCGTGTGGCAGATCGACCAAATGGTACTTCCATTCAGATCCACCCACTTTATAGATACCTAACATCCGCGAAGATTTCAATACCGGCATCGTGTAGAGCATAAAAAGTTACCCGTAGAACATTAGGCTCATTTTTCAAAAAACCATGTGGAACATGGTTTTACAGAGGTCCAAAGTTTCAGTGACACTTTTACGATTTAGTGAAAAAAATTGGAAAGTTTGAGTTCATATATTTCAAGATCTCCCAGAAAATTTTTTCTAATTATGATCAGAATAGATAGAGATCACCGAGCGCTACAAAATGGACAAACGTCGTCTTCATCATCATCTTGATCCTCGAAATTCGTAAAATATCGATCGTCTTTTTAATGATTTAAGCGTGCTTTTTACTCGATTTTTCACTTTTATTGCGACCAAATCGTTTCTATTATGAATAAATTTTCTTAGTTTCATAGCAAATCAGGCTAATTTTCTTGGGGACGGTTTAGAGAAAACCAGCATACATATTCTGATTCCTTTTTGGATGTAGATTCCAAATCTGGTGTTTGTTTTCTTGTGGAACGTCTAGTTTTTGAAAAAGAACCGAAAAACCGTTTTTACGTTTAAATTAGCTATTTTTCTCCTTCTCCTTTTCTCTCTCTGTCTCTCTTTCTTTCTTGCTTTCTGTTCGTTTCACCATTTTCATGATGAACGGAGAGAATGAGAAAGAGAATATACACCCATATCTTCTATAGCTATTTTCTTCAAACATTGACACAAAAAACAAGTTTAGTAACTATGAAAATCGCACTCGTTATAAAATTAGTGTGTATTCTGGCAACTTTTTTAGCTTATTATGATTAAAATCAGCTACTAGCTGATTTTAATCATAATAAGCTAAACAAATATCGCTAAGGAGATTTTAGAATTTATATTTATAGACATCTTTTACTCGCATTTCTGTTGGCGGAAATTCGAACCCACAAAACATTTCTCGAATTTCCTGAAACTAGAAGCTCTTGAGCGGCTGTCGCAGCTGAGCACATTTTTACGCAAATAATTCACGTATATAGATAATACTAAACCGCATCAAAGACATTAAATATATTGGATTCTAATTCCCTTTTTCTTTTACTTTCACAAATTGTTCACGTACATTGGTTCGAATTTCCGTCAACAGAAATGCGAGAAAAAAGATGTCTGCAAATATAAACTCTAAAATCTCATTATGGTATGTGGACTGACGCTAAATAACTCATCGTTTCTATAACAGATTATGCACTTTGAATATATGTTCGGTAAAATGAAATTCATTGGGTGAATCTACTAAATTAAATAAAGCTTGCAATTAGAAAAACACTCTCTCATCCAGAAATTAGCTCACTATTCGATCATCTTATTCCTTAGACTAACAAGTGGTTCTTTTATTGTTTTGTGTATTTTGTAGATATAATCATGTTACATTCGTCAACAACAACAAAAAGTTTAATGGCTAGGCCTATTTTTAAAATGCTTACAGCTCAGTGAAAAATAGTAGACGAAACGTCGTTTTAGCGTAGTTTGGTAGCCAATGATCTATAGTTATAGTTTCATGCAAAAAATTGAACAATAAATGTTTTTAAGGTATTACTTTATAATTAATTAGTACTGAGTAAGCTAATTAGTATTACTCTGGTAGCTTACACTTTTATTTCTAAATTGACGATTTGTTGAAAACCGTGAAGTAATAGCTCGTTCGACAGAGATTTTCAAGCGCCACAAAACCTTGAATTGATTTTTTAAAAATCTATCCGTCAGAGGTTATTGTAACCGGGTTTTTCGGAGTATCGGGTTTCTACTAGGGTTATTATTGTCGACGCCAAAATATAAAGCAAACTGTTATTTTCTGAATAACTCAAAGACGGTAAAAGATAGAGACCTGCGGTTTTCAGCAGTTGAAAGAGGACAGTTTAGCCCATATTTTCACAAATAGAAACGTTTTTCACACAAACTTGTGAAACCGGTCTCCCACGAAGTCCCAGGGCTTCGGGAAGAACGTCCAAAGCTTCCTAACCAAGCAAAGTGGAACTTTTGTTTGGATCTTATTTTGTAGATGACACTTTGGACTATCTATATATGGAAAAAAATCAATGGGCTGCTATGTAAAATCATTGCCTTAGATACTGGTTTTCCAGAGGATCTCTGAAAAACAAATTTTAAGAATTTGCTCAAAAAACGTTGGCTTATGGAAACATAGACTAAACTGTCTTCTTTCGACTGCCGAAAATCGCAAGTCTCTAGCTTTTATCGCCTTTGAGTTAGTCAAAACACAACTACCGGTCTTATATTTGGGGTTGGATAGTAGTATTTGTTAAGAGCCTTACTATAGATTGTGGCTCCACGAAGCAGGATGAAGAAAAACTTTTGCTGTCAAAAGGCTTCCTTAGGTGCCAAATGTGGTACTGAGTGTAATACTTTTTTCAGTGTAACAGAAAGATTTTGAGAAAAATTGAATTTTAAGTTGTGTAATAGTTATAAATTCTCAAACTTGAATTTTCTCAAAATTTTTTCGTTACACTGGAAAAAGTATTACACTTAGTACCCTATTTGACACCTAAGGAAGATTTTTGTCAGCAAAGGTTTTTCTCCATTGTGCTTCGTTATGCCACAATCAGTGGCAAGGCTCTTAAAAAACACTAGTTTTCGGAAAAATCGACATTTCAAGAAAAAACAAAAGTTTTGTTAACCGAACTTCATTCAAAGTTCGCAATAATTTCAGCATATAGACAGTTCGATCTCGTTGATCGATCGGTGCCAGTCTTATCATTAGAACATTCTTCTTTAATGAACAGTGAACTTTTTAAAAAAAAACCTTAAATTTCCGTATGCTTTTAAAAGTTAAAAGAAATGGGAAGAACGTGTCTGGGAGGTTCAAACGTCTCACCATATATGTAAGTCGACATGGGCTACAAAGTGATGTAAAAAGCCAGGGGAGTTCCGCATCCCGCTTAATGTGACTTTTTCGAATTTTGGACTTTCGATGCTGACTATTAATTTGAAAAGTAAAATATCAAAAATCCGGCTCGATTAGCCTCTAGCTACATGTTTTGTGGTCAACTATGACTGGCTCGAGCTCTCCACAACGTTTCATTATTGAAAAATCTTGCAGCTACGAACAGCCCCATTTTGGTCACTGTTGTGGCGACATCTCACAAATCATGCTAGAAATTCCATGCAAAAAATTTCGTCACCATACTTTCACAAGTTCAACATCTCCTAAAGGTTTGGTCTTATACTTTCAGAGTTAGGTTTCTAAGGGGGTAGGGACTTTAGTATATCGATTTAAGTATATTTCTAAAAAAAACTTAAGTCAATTTTCCTACTTAAGTTTTCACGTAACGTAAGTGATATGAACTAAAAAGCATACTTAATTTAAAACAATTGTGTTTTTTGCTGTGTTTAAATTTAAGCGAAAAAAAGTTTACAAAATGACTTTAATTGCTATACTGGCAGCAAAAGCATGAGACGAGAACGTGTTTATTTCGATCATTCAAATCCGCTGGAATATATGACAGAAAATCGATTTTTAGCACGTTATCGATGTCCAGAACAAGCAGTAGTAGATTTATTAAACGAAATTGAACATCATCTCCAACGTCCAATCTCTCATAATCATGCAATACCTTCAGTTATTCAACTTTTAACGACATTATGTTTTTATGCCAATGGTTCGTTCTTTTGTACGGATGGTGATGTTCGGAGATTATCTAAAACGTCTGTTCCAGCAGAATAGTGTTTCGAATATCATCGATTTTGTCTGGAAAAGCTATTCGAAATATTAAATTTCTAATAACACTACAAGAACAGAATTTGATAAAACAAATGTTTGATCAACGAACAAAATTTCCTCTAGTGATCTGTCTTATTGATTGCAGACACATTATGATTAAAACTCTTGAGTGAAAATGCAGGTATGTGCTTAATCCAATTCTTGTTTTCGTTTAGTCATCGCACCGTTACGAATAGTTTTAACAAGTAACGCAATCCGATGGATCGCTCCGTCCCTTAATTCTGAAAGTAGCTCAGTTCAGAGGGCTATTTTTAGTCTGCATAAAGATCTTTCTCTTACTGTGAGTATGAGCTGTAAATCATTGCCCAGATCCTTTCATTTTGCTTAATATGCATATTGCTTTTTTAAAATATTAAAAAATACATTAAAATTTCTAATCTAACACTAAGTTACGATTTCATTAGTAGATCAGAATTTAACCATGGGAATATATTCATTAATTAAGCGGATTTACAAACAGTGAAAAGCCTCAAAACGCTGTTTTGTGACTTCATTTAGTTTTTTAAATCCTTCTAATTAATTCACATTGAAAAATAATATTTTTCCTAGCATTCAGTCACCAACAACAGATGGTCCTAAGATGATGAGGCTATTTATGGACCTATTTTTGTCTCTATAGCGTATGGTTTCAAGACTTCGTTCTGGCTTCAAAAGATAGAAAATTTTCTGTCCTATAAAACTCTCTATATCGCACACTTACACTCCGTGGCCTGGCTAGTTCTTTTCCTGCTTTTTTCAAAATCTCACGTTGCCAAAAAGTGCTAATTAATCTGTACACTAAAATTTTTACAATTTCAGTGACCAGACGGAAAAGCAGCGTAGCCTGGATAATAGCCTTCAATCCGCTGAACATTTTTATAGCTTTTTTCTCGTTTACCATATTATTTCTCGAAAAATTATACAAAAGACAAAAAGCCATCAAAATTTTGATGGGAAATCGTAGTTATACTTTTTGCAGACGGATCTGGCAAACACTTGCAGCGATTGTCAGAGCAGGCACGAACTGTTATTACGAACAGAGAAGAATACTCGCTCAAAATTCTTTATGATATACTTCCAGATGAAAAAAAGACGCTTATTTCGTGCACTTTTTTCGATTTTTAAGGACACAAATCTCAGTAACTACAACAGATCATAAAAAAGGGAAAACAGAAGATAAAATCCCCGTTGATCCTTGTTCAAATGCAAAACTTTCATCCAATGAATTTGTGTTGTGATTAATTAAGGAAAACATGATCATCATCTATATGATCATTTGTGCCAATTAAGAATATCTAAAAATATGATGCTATTAAGGACAAGGATAGTACTGAGTTAGTTAAGGAATAAAAGGCAAACATTTGTTTTTGAGCACCACATTATTCACCCATTTATTAAAAATAACATATCGTCGTAAAAGAATCATATAAAAATCAAAGTATTATTTTTTCTATTGTTTTCTACCATGTCTCGTCGAACTTGGAAAGAGATTTCATCAGATTTTAATAAAGATGATCTTTCAACATTAAGTAAGCAACATAATGTTCGTACATATCGTACGACTGCCACAAATGGACAGTAACACATGCACTATCAAAAGACTGACATCATTATTAGGATTATTACTATCATCATCGTCATCGTATAATATATTTGTTTCACTGTTCATGTTTATTTGTCACAATTTCTCCTAAACTTATTAATTGATTCCTTGTGATGTTTTTGTAAATAGATGAAACAGGAAATTTCTTAAAATTTTACCACCACATTTTACCAAAATAATCTACATGAGGCCTGTGTTAGCTATAAATTTCTGTACAAAAAAAAGCCGAGATCTCTTCCATGTTTTCCATCCAATTAACTGAATTGAGATCTATTACATATTTTTTCCGAGATCCATTCCATGATTTTGAAATAAAAATCGAGATCTTTTCCATGTATTTTTATGCAACTAAGTCAATCGAGATCTAATTCGCGATATTTCCGAGATCTTTTAAATTCTTGTCCAAACTTTACTATTCACTCACAAAACATCAGAACGAGTTCAAAACTTCAGAATGTAGAGTATTTAAACTATTCTATATCCTGTTTATAGGAGATCTTAAAATAAATTAAAAAAACTCTAAAGTATTCCAAAGAAGTTCTAGAAAATCTATTAACAAAACTATGCTTTTAGATTTTTTCGGCCTTATAATCACGTTTTGAGCTTGTTCTGATATTTTTTGAGTGAATAGTGAATTTTTTAATATTAGGTGAAAACAGCCTGAAAACCCTAATTTTCGTAAAACTGGCTTTTCGGCAGATTTGTAAAACTGTTTCTAAAAACAAATATTGCCGGGACTCAGCATGATCGATTATTCATAGTCCATCCGTCTTTAAGGCTACCAAGAGTCACCGGGTGCCAGTCCTCGTCGGAAATCCGATACAACGCCCGAACCGCAGAAAATCAAGGTCTCACTTTGCTCCCATTTTGAAGAGAGCACCCCGGGCTATCAGTCCATGAGAAAAAATCAATACATTCCTATGTGAATTTCGGAAAATCCAAGCTAGTTTTCCAAACCTTCTCTAAATAACCCGCTTCAAAAACTTTTCCGAAATTCGCTTTTGCTTACAGAAATATGTGGTCAGGTGTCTAGTTTTCAAAACTGAAAACCGCAGGTCACTATTTCATCTCTATCAAAAGTTATTTACAAAACAACCAAGTGCACGGTGTTCTGGAACGGATAGTAGTATTAAATTGCTAAATCGACTGAATTTAGAAAAAAATTAATTCTGCAAAATCAAATAATCAAACAAAATACTTAATCATAGAAAATTTGATCTTTGCTCGCATTCTGATTGACATCCAGGGATCCCAGATCCAAAAGATAAAAGTCAGAAAAGAAAGTGGAAATCAGAATACGAATTTTTTGGTGTTCAGATAATTAATTATACCTTTTTAAATAATAAAATATTAAATATTAAATTAAATTTTAAATTAAATTTTAAATTTAAATGAATTTGAATTACGACTACAGCATATGTTCATGCATCTGAGATAGACCTTCTCAAAAATAATCCTTTTAAGAGAACTCTAAAACACACCAACTCTTCCCATCCTGAGAGATGTTTCTTTCTCTTGAGTTATACTATGAGTAGAAACAAAGTACAGAAAACTTCAAAATTTTTCCCAGTTCTCGAGCGATTGTATCTATAAAGTACGTCTAAGCTCACAGACTACTATAATCGATCGAAGAACGAGCAGTTTCTGAGAATCTATACAAGGAAGACTTATAACGAACTATTGGGATATTATTATCCACTGCCTACTATCGGAACAGAAAGCGATGTGAATGTGATCCGATAAATGCGCTATGAGCCAAACTTCACTTCAAATCCATATAAAATCAGAAGATCAGAAACGAGGCAGAAAAAAGTTCAACAATCAGAAGATCTGGGACCCCTGTTGACATCATCCGTCAGTCGACTATTATTACTTCGGCGAACTAAAGAAAAAATAACTAAATAAATTTAATTATAATTTTAATCATCAGATATCCGCCCAAGTTTCGACAGTGATGGATCGGATGGGTGCAACCAACACGTTGCGTCATATCGGTTCATCGTTTCATTCTTGTAATGCTATATTTGCAGTATATATAATGAAATAATATGTAATGAAAGAAGGTAATGGATTTTGTAGAGCAGAGAATTCTGTATCGAATGAGCCTAAAATGGAGCCTCAGTTAAGTGCCCGAAAAAACGAGAAGAAAAGTGTGTCATTATTTCTGCGCTACTTGTTGCTATCGACTGTAGAAGAGCCAGAACAAATATAATTGTCCTAAGATTAAAACTCCGAAATCATCGCTCTGTTTTTTAGCTGATGAGGTGCAAAACTGTAAATTTTGATTACTGCAACTTTTCATCGAATATATCATGTCGGAGTTTCATGTTTAGAACCAAAAGATCTATATTATCAAGCCTTTTGTATAAATTTTTTCCGTTCTTCGTTTTCATCAGTTCAATTTTGATAGTCAGAAGGTTTAAATATGTCAAATATTTTTATCACCTGGCGGTCAATAGTGAACAAGAGCTAAGTTAAAAAAGACAGATAAGTAATAATAAGGACAATGACAGTAACGATGCAATAAGTAACAACAGGCTGTATGTTGTGTTCCTTCTGTCTATGAAATACATTAGAATGATGATTTTCTGATAATTAAAATCATGATTTTAGATGTGTTTTTTATGTTCTCCTACCCCACTAATTAATTTTGAATTAATTATTTGCCGTTTATGGTGCATACACGATGTTAATCGTTGTATAATTAAATTCAGCAATCCTGGTGCTTTTCTGGGAATGATGCAAATCCAACTTATAGTGCGAGCAGGTATAGAATCAGTTGATGATATGTCTTATTAACCACAGTTTTCTAATCTCAACGTATGGTCAATAAAATTCATGTCCTGCGCATCAAACTCATGCTTTTCTTCCATTTTCCATTTCAACTTTTTTTCAAACTCTCTGACTTGTGATTCTCATCTGCATTTAGTTTATCAAAATTTGCATCCTCAGGATCTCTAAAACACATTATTCATCAGAACGTCTGACACGATCATCTAACTTTACTCAAGAATCCACTAATCTCTCTTTCTCTCTCTGTCAACACTCGTGACATTTCTCACTTTCGTAGCAAAAGTGTGAGACATAATAGGATGTATATCAGAAAGAAGATTCGCATCCATGCCTTGCTTCTCAATGTTGACTTCACTTTGAAGAAACAAGTCATCCGAAAAATGCCCCTGAATATCTACTTCTCGATCATAGATAGATAACCATCACCGCGCACGTCAAAGCATATTAGAGGAAAAAATGTTATTCAACTTTTCGCACTGGAAGACAATAGAAATATTTTTTCTTTGATATAAAATGTCTGAATTGTCATGACGTAATTTTGAGCATGTTGTGAGGAGTTGCCTCTGTGATAAAATATCGAATTTATATTCAAATTTCGTGGAACACCTAAGAGTCATCTCCTTCGATCTTTTTCGTCCAAGATAGTAATACGTTGTATTAGGTTTCAGCTGTTTTTGACATCAATTAACATTATTTGTGATATTTCTAGAATCGTTTAAAATATGCTGGTATTAAAAGACCAAAATGTTTGGATAGAATTTATAATTTAAACAGTTATAGTATAAAACAGAAGATGTATAGAAAGCATTCATTAATCAGTGTTCACATGGAAACATGAGCTCAAAAAGAAAGAATAGATCAATAAGCATATATTTGCTTAACAATAAACAAAAAAAAAAAGAATCTTTTATTATTTTAAATATATATATGTATCTTTGACATTGAAACACTCTTCTTTATCCTAAAGAGAGATCGAGATTGATGACCTTCATTACACACACACACACACATAGCAATCTTTTCTTAAGTGTTTATATTAGGGTATCCCAATTTTTATATTTTTGTTCAATCAACTAGAAAAGAATTTCAGATCTTTTCAATTGTGAAACGTAAATATACTTATTTGAAATTAAGTAGAATTTTTTTTTTGTACTGAAGCGTCTCTATGTCCGTTTGTGATGCAATATAATCGAGATTATTTACCGAAAATAACGAGAGAAAAAGAAAAGAAGACATTGTTTGTGTCAAGGCTTGATATGAAGCCGTTTCAACTCTTGATTGTCTCGCAACTTACACACCTTTTTCTCCTTCTTGTTTCTTTTACGATTATATGGATATATAGAAAAATTTTAATCTTTGGTTCCTGTTTTTGTTTGTAGACACCGACATCGATCTGAATCGCACTTTTCTTTAATAAAATATTTTCCAAAAAAATATGCTTTACCTATTTAGCGTTTCGTTGTGTGTCGGACCATGATTAATTATACGGTTGAGTTTTTTTCATTCTTTTGTGAATAAAAAAACTAAGGAGACAACCATACATAATATTTCTTCGAACGTAGTTGTTACCTACCTTTCTGTTAACAAAGGAAAAGAACTCTTATACACTTTTTTATGCAAGCTTAGAAATATAATGATGGTATGTTAGTACTACATTCAGTTTTCCAAGAAAAAGTTCAATAAAAATCTGGTAAATGGAACAGGTCTTTTCTTGTTTTCTGTAACTATTGTTTCGGGCAGTGGGAGCAACATGAGTTTATTGGCGACTTTACGAATGACAATTTGACTGAGATGACACAATGGTTCAGCTTTAAACTAAAAGACATTTTTGTTAAAAACTTTTTTAATCTATTTTAGAGCCTTGTTGGATCCTTTTCCTTATGTCTTTCAATGTTTGAGCTCTTTTTAATGGATAACTGCTAGCTTTTCTGATTTTCTGGACTGACGAGGGAGCCGCCCCAGGTGCCCAACTCTGATTTCCTTCATTCATACCTCGTGTATACCTCGTTTTATAGAGCACATCGAGCTGGTAAAAAGCTTAAAAGGATTTTTGCGCATGGGTCTTGAAGTCTCGGTTTTCTGCAAAACCAGTTTTTGAGAAATTCTAAAAAATAATCAAAGCCTTTCATAATTAGGCATAATTGTAGCCCACACATTTCTGATTAAAATGAGACGTCTCCTAGCTCTACACCACCTTTCTTTACAAAGTTACAGAATTTACAAGAAAATCCCTAAATGTCCATTGTCAGCTCAAAGCTGTAGAAATAAGATGAAATTAATTTAGGACTTTTCTTGTAAATTCTATAACTTTGCAAAGAAAAATCAATCAGAGCTGGAAGCCGTCTCATTTTAATCAGAAATGTGTGGGCTACAATTATGCCTAATTATGAAAGGTTTTAATTATTTTTTAGAATTTCTCAAAAACTGGTTTTGCAGAAAACCGAGACTTCAAGACCCATGCGCAAAAATCCTTTTAGACTTTTTACCAGCTCGATGTGCTCTATAAAACGAGGTATGAATGAAGGAAATCTGAGTTGGGCACCTGGGGCGGTTCCCTCGTGAGCCTCCTTCCTATACAACTATCTGCCATACTTCTGGTGAAAACAATTAAAATTGTTCTATTATATAAAACAGGAATTTTACTATTCTTTTATATTGTACACAACATTAAATTGTTCAATTAAAATGTGTCATTATATATGGTCGATGTGCATCCTTCAATTTTTGATGTCACGATCGTCTTCATTCTATACATTGTTCTTTCGTTACGAGACCCATTAGTATACGTAGTTTAAATTCCTCATGTACTTGCCATACTAGTCATACATATATTACTTTACAACTTGTTCCAAAAAATGTCTATTGTCTGATCGTTTTTTCTTATTCTCTTTTTTCTGTGCGTATACGTATACAAGTTCTTTCGGTCGAGTGAATCAATCCAAAATACACAGAAATATGGACATTTTACACCATAGAACATATGTCAATGTATATTATGAGAAGGTGCGATGACGATAGCGGTAGAGATGGTTCATTTTTAATGACATAGGACGCGACCGGTCGTCTATCACTAAAGAATGAGAAGAAGAAAAAAAAACAATAACATCATGAAGAAAAGTATAGAAATGAAATATTATAGAAGCAAGATATTAAATTAAGGTTAAAATTTTAGTTTTATATGAGTATTGAGGTGAAGTGCGTGTGTCCATACATCTTTAAACAACATAATTTTTTATTTAATCAATTGAACTAAACGTACAGTATTTACATTAAAATTGAAATGAAGTGTTTAAAGGATATAACGATTAAATGATATTCAAAAATATCTGGTAACAGTCAATCAATTAAGAAAATAATGCTGATAAATTGAAGGCTATCACATGACACGCGCGCGATCCAGTAGAGAGAGAAAAGTTATAGTTTGATTTTATTCAAACAAACGTTTTTTTAATCGAGCAAGTAACGAACAACTTGTGTGTGTGTGTGTGTATGTGTGTGTGTGACAGGGAGACAGAGAGGGTATTTCAACCAAAGAATAACAGCAAACAACAAGAGAAGAAAAGAGTTTTTGTGCACGAAAAACTGTTTATGGTTTTCTATGTAAAGAACTCATAAATTTGTTAAGTACATATCTTCTATAGAGTTAATAGCGACAAAACAGCTCATGTTATAATCGCCAAGTTTTAATTTTATTGATACTATAGAGCAGAAAAAAAATGAAAGATGAATTGTTTCAGTTCCAGTATGGAGTTTCAAGTGCTTCCCGATTACTAAAGTTCGTTCAAAAAACTTTACATTCCGCCATTCGATTTTTCGACGTAGAGAATAGTTTTAACCATACTGCTCAGTACATATGTTATGTCCTGAAAATATTCTAGTAGAGTAGTTTTGTTTCTTTGATAATGAGGTGACCTGAAGTAAAATGTAGTATATTATGTTTTAAGGCTGTTATGATGATAATTGTTCTCTTTTACAGTTAGCTACTGTCATATTTATCGCATACATAAACATTAGTTGATTATTGATTTATTTCTCCCTTTCAGCTTATGTCTTCATGTGAACATTAATGCATATACCATCAAATCGGCGTGATCGAGCGTTTTATGCTGCATTTTATAGTCGAAATATAAATGAAATTCAAATTATCGATTCTTGTTTAACAAAAAGTACTGATGATACGTCTCATGGTCTATTACATTTAGATACCATTACCAATCACCAAAAACCATTTTTGTCTAATGTAAAAAAAATAAACAGCGGCTTTCGTAATGGTGGCGTCATTTGCATTATTGCAAGTAAACGTTCTTCATCTCAAAGTCCTACGTCGACTTCTGAATTATCAACATCATCATGCTCATCATGTACTTCCTCATCATCACGACGTTGGCAACCGGCACCCTCGATTCAAGAACGATTGAATGCATTCGAGTTGTTTGTAAAACAACAACAACAACAACAGAATACTAAAACGTCATGTCAACGTGACAAAATGAAGAAAGATCCCGATGAATTTAGTTATCTGAAAAAAGCACGATCTATATCAACAACATCGTTAGTATCAAAAACTAAGACAGTTCAGTCTAAAAGCAACAAATCTATTATGTTAAACGAACTTCACAGCTCAAACAATGTTTCTCAAGATAGTGATAGTGAAATTTTACAGGAAAAATTTCTATTTAGTGGTACACTAGTAGATAGTGATATCAATAAAAATGGTGATAATCAAAAAATCTCAACAACGTTAGAAACATGTTCGAGGAACATATCAGAAAATGGAAAAAATGGAAGTATTCAATCAATCGATGAAGAGAACAATTCGATTCTGAAATATTCAAAACGCTATTTATCTAAAAGTACCAGTGTACTTTGCAATCGACAACAATCGTTAGAATTAGTAGATGATATGATGGGCGCTATACAAGAAGAACTGGTAAATATTTATGACACTTTTTTCGTATGTAGCTAGTTTCTATTCAGCAGTAGCAGCTCAAGTAGTTTAAAACTACGTTACAAAATATGCCGGTAATATTGCTACTATAACAAAGGGCTTACATTGTATTGTTCTACCTTTCTGTTCAATTCTCCTGTTTCAATTTTCACTAAAAATGTATGCTCTACTTTAGTGTGAAATTCGTCAACAAGATCGTGATTTGAAAAAAATGTTTTTAACAATTTATGGCAAAATTCAAGAGTTACAGTACCATAAGACGCCAAAAACACAGGATTTTAATCGATTGAATAAACAGTTTACATTAAGTAATGGAGATTTACGTCGATTGAACAATAATCGAAAATGTTGTCGAAAAGTAGTGACAACAAACTCAATGATATGTGAGACACATCACAAGACGAATGATGACGATAATAGCTACACGGAAACTGAAACGTTTAGTTCGGATATTGATGAGAATTCTGCTGATTAATGAATGTTTTGTAAATATCTTCTGTTTTATGTTTAGAATAGTTGAAAAGTATCTATTTTTTAAAAATACGCTAATAATAGTGCTTCCCATAACTAATAAAAAGCATTATGCATATAATTCGACGCATTCTAACTGTTCAGAATAATGGATCAAGAGAAAACGCTTCGTGATTTACTGATGTTTGATGTGACAGTTTCGTAATCTTCGTTTAGCTGTGATCAGGTCTACAGTTTATTACTCCATAGTTATCAACGACCCGGCCGAGCTTAACGAGTAATGTATTAATAACGAACAAATCAACTGATTGGCATTATAAACGATTTCAGTTAAACAATAGGCTTATGTCGATCCTGTAGTCGATTAACAGCGTGATAAGGTGATCACTGGTCTTGGGCTGTACTCAAGGAATATTAAAAAATAACGTTGTCTTCTACTGCATATGTTAGAGGTGTTCTGGTGGGTGTATATTTCTAGAGCGCTAGGCATACATTGTTACATAAGTTGTAGCGGAAGAGGTGTGAATTAATCTCACACATTGCTGTTGTTTGTAGAAGAAACAACAGTTTTAAGAGAAGCCCAGAAGACGCAAGTTAGTGTGACTAAGAAGATATAATTATACAATCGAATTAAATTCAAAATTATCTCTAACAAAAGTATTTTATTATTTTTAAAACTAAACTTCTTACCATTCGATTAAAGTTAAAAAAAGATTATCTACGTGACCTATTATACTGCATACAACAGGCATCGTAAACTGTTACAGACAATATTATTCGCAAGTTCTGCTAACTCTTTTTGTGATGTGCTAGACGAGTACTCTCTAAATTGCTATTTCATTTTCGGAAATCCCAGGTAGTTTTCCAAAGATTCTTGCGAAACAGGATGTTTGAAATTTTGCACAACTAACTTTCGCTTATAAATAGTTAGCCTTAAATGCTGACTTTCGATTGCTGAAAACCGCAGATCTCCATCGCTTTTCGTTCAAAAGTTATTCTAGAGATAACCACCGATGTGGATTGGAAAGCTCGTGAGCTCTTCTTTCTAACGAGATGCATACAAGCTTCACGTGAAAATCGAATAATCGTCATTTTCTGCCATAAAACGTTCTCTTCTAAGAGAATCTTTTTATCTTGAAAAGTTTTATTTCACTATTAGCCTTGCAGAACTCGAAATGCTGATCATGAATCTGTCAGCAACATGTCTCCGTCATCCATAATCGAGGAGAAACGACTTTGAGGAAAGCGCTCAAACCAATTTGAACCTCATTTTCCTCTGTCATGCCGAGGGATTTTACTGAATATGCGAGCTCTAGTAAAAACGAGGCGATGCCAGCTACAGACTGCGAAAGCTTCCACTTGTCGGAGAAATTATGTGTAACGGTATCAGATTTCGCATGCTAGTCTTTCAGCTGCAGGCGATTCTTATAAGAGCTTTGATCTTGTAAGAAATGTCGTGTAACGCAATGAAGGTCAAAAATACCTCTTAAGAGCCATTAAAGATAAGTTACGAACTAATGTGCTCAATCTGCGAGCTAAGAGTTAGTGTCGTTGTTGTTGTTGTCATCTCACTCGGATCAAAGAATGATGTTGCTACCGACGTTGCTATAGCCGTCATTTTGAGCAGACTTTCTTGAACAGAGTTTCAACGGAGGAGAAAATTCGAATTGTTAGCTCGACAGTTTTGACGAGAGTAGAGAAGGAAACTAGAAAAGTGAATGACATAGTTCGCAAAAATGCAGAAAAAAAGTGAAAGATTTGTGTGCGCCAAACACGGCATTGAAATTGTATTTCATACGGAGTTGAAACATATTTGGCTGGAGATTTTTTGCAGACGAGTTGAAGAAAAATCTTTTTTTGCAAGTTACTTATAAGCATAAGGACATGAGTAATACAAAACTATCTCTGCTCAGGTGTTTTCCGTTACCGAGATAGGAGACATTATTTGTAAAATAACCATAAGTAACTACTTTTCTGCCGACTACTTATAATCATACCTTTCTGAATAAAATAACCATAAGTAGCTCGAGTGCAGTATAGAGACATGTTGTTAGGTGTGAGCTTAGTTTGCACTGGTAGAAATCGTGAAAAATCGGAAGTCCGACATGGTTAAAAATGGAAAAAGTCCAAAATTTGCGCGCTCTCCCCATCCATGGAAGATGTTTTTATAAAATTACAGCTGCCAGAGAAATTAAGTATAAAGTTACAGCTGCCTAAGTAATCAATTTCACCACTCTTGCATTCGCAGCGAAGCGTCAACTTTTAGGAAAGAATGTCTCCTATCTCGATAATGGAAAAGACCTGACCGGAGATATTTCTGAATTAGTCATGCCCTTATGATTATAAGTAACTTGCAAAAAAGATTTTTCTTCAACTCGTCTGTAAAAAAACTCCAGCCAAATCTGTTTCGACTCGATTTGTTTTTCAATGACACAGCTATCGACGATTTTATTTCTATTCTTCTACCTGGAAAGTATCTTCTCCATCAACTATTTCAAAGGTGGATTCTTTACATACAAAGCTATCAATTATAGACAATCAGCAATTGACCTTCTGATTGAAATTGAATTTTCAACAAACATTCTCTTTTGTATTGAAAAAGACAGGACCGCATAAGGTTAAAAATCTCTCCAAGTTCTTTTTCTAGTAATAATGGTTTCGTATGTAGTAAAAACGTATTTAGAAGTCGATTCTGGGTATAATCAGATACTTTTTTCACTAAAATCCCGTTAATTCCTCGACAACAGCATCCCAATCAGCACCAAAACAACACCCACGTGATAAGTAAAAGGTGTTTTTTTCAACTTTCCTATACTTATACGCTTGACTAAATACTCGATTAGATAGCTCTTGAAATTCTGTACAAATTAAGGTAGTCAGAATATCTAGACAGGTGAGGCCACTCATCAAAGGCATGCAAAAATCTCGCTGGACCACAGAAAACAGCTGCAGACAGACGGGTGGGAGAAATAAAAAATCAAAAGCAGCAAAAGTTACGGCTGGAGTACCCCAGGACTTAGTGCTCGGTCCACTCCTGCTTTTAATCTTCATAATGATTTGAATGAGAAGTTTCCTTCTATAGTAACAGCTTCCCTTTTTGCTGATGATGTGTTTGGTTTAATTCCTCTTCGAAATTTTAAGGATCTCGCACAAGTCCACAAACTTTTAAATAGTATGACTGACTGGTGCGTAAAAAACGAGATTAGTTTAAACACAGAAAAATGTTTTTTTATACTGTTTTCTAACTTAAAACTTCCTGATCAATATCCTCCACTTTTTTTATCTGGCAAACCGCTTCTGTTAGATAATAATATTAAATTCATATCACCGGATCGAAAAATTTCAAAAGCTTGTTCGGTTGAAACCAATTGCAGATTCGTTTTCTCCATGGTTGATTATGTGGTACGCAATAACTTTTGAATCGGGGTACTTTAAAAAAACTTTTTCCCATGGTCTTGCTCAAAAATTTTTCAAAATGTTACCGTATGGAACGAAAGGCAAAACGATGTCGAAATTATTTCTAAAGTACCCTGATCCAGAAGTTATCGCGCATCACATAATCAACCATGGAGAAGACGAATCTGCAATTGGTTTTGACCGAACAAGCTTTTAAAATTTTTCGATCCGGTGATATGATTAGGAGTTTATCTATCACCAGACTTAACATGGAAGTATCATTTAGAAAAAATCAGTAAAAGATGCAGACAGATGCTGAAAGCAATGAATAGAACTTTCAAGTGCGCGTCAGAGTTCATAAGGTTGCATGTTTATAAAAGTTGTATCATGCCCGTAATGGAGTGTTGTTCTATTGTCTATGATATCGACTATAAGACTCATCTCGATCAACTTACATCTGTTCATAAACTAGCTGCACGAATGATCACTATCAACTTTACCACTAACACTTCTATTCTTATTAAAAAATTTAAACTACCAGATTTAGAGGATCAGAGGAAATATTTCAGATTGTTCTTTTTTCATAAGATGATCACGGGTCATACAGCTCTCTCTTCTTTTTCACTGATAAAACCGCTCACTTCTAGAACATCAAATAAATGTCTGTGGATAATACCGGTATTATCCATGCTTGTTGACATTTTCTATAGGTTTTTGACCTAACGGTTGCGATCGCTATTTGACTGGAAAGTGTGAACGATTATAACTCAGCTCAGGAATATTACAGAGAGATGGTTGACGTCTCATTTTCTTCAGAATCTGATGTTCCTTCAGGCTGTCTAGTCAAAACTGAGTTTCGGATTGTTACGGTTTTCGAGGAGGTTTCTGGAAAACCGAATTTGAGAATTTGACCAGTTGCACAACTTTTCCTCAGAATTTTCTCAGACCATGCGAAACAGTATCAAAAAATAGGTCTGCAGGTGAAATCACTATTAGTTTCAAGATTTTCTTTAAGAGTAGCAGAGAAATCATTTGTGGATGATAGGGGAATTTGCGGGATTTTCGAACTGAATTTAGATTTTCGGCACTTTAATGGAGTCATATACAATTTTGGACGTGATATTCTCGTCTTTTTCGACTCGTGCTTTTTGTATATCTCGCAGCTTTTTACAGTTCCAAAGTAAGATTTGTGCCTTTAGCAGGCCAACTTCTGTAGACGATTGTAAATAACATTCGACGAGAAACAAATTCTTTTCTCAGTTTCAGAAAATTTTTAATGTAAAATAAAGGTCATATTCGTAATCAGCGTGAAATTCTGCGCCGGACCATGCATCTTTAGTCGAAACCCCAGATGAAATAATTTTCAATGATCCAAGAGCGGAATAGAGGCAAAAATTTTTTGAAAAAAATGAAAGTCAAAACTTTGAAAAATGAAATGAGCCATTTTGTTGATATTAATCATCGTCATATAGTTTTTTTTGGAATTGTTTAAGGCCGCTCTAACCGAAAACCCTCTCACGTTCTTTATATTATGCGATTTTCAAGGGACGGTTTATTTTCACGTGAAAATCTTGACGAAAACTAAGAAATGCTTAATCAACGTAAGACTACACAACTATATGATATATGGACTAAATATATCATTTATATTTCGTAGTCTTTTAAATAAGGTGCAAATATATTCTAGAGGATATTAACATAAACAAATTGAATGAAAAAGAAATCTTGACCTGCAACTTTTCTACTTCTACTGACTTCAAGCAATGAGCGACTGCAGTTATTCGAAAACAAAATCGATTAACATATGGGTTAATTGACTAATCAAAACCATGTGATTATCCCAGAACATTCAGGTTAAAGAAATTCGATGGGTAAATGTGCGAAGAAGGTAGGACTATAAAGGTGATTGCACGCAAATGTGCGATGATCACAGAATATTCATTTCCCACAACTTTTGGTATGTCAAAAATTCGTAAACTGTCATGGTTATATAAATACAAGTATACAATGCCTCTGATTGTCATTTGAATTATTTACTGCTATAGTACAGACCTCTGATGCTCTATCAAAGTATTCTGTTTCGAATCATAGTCGAATAAATAAAACATATTTAATAAACGCTGCAGAGAAAGATCTCTTTCCAATGAACAAACGGTTAAAAACACTCACAAATAACGACAAATCAGATAGTAGTAACTTATTGTACATCTCAAGGCATTGTCCAGTTTGATAATGGATCCTACTACTTCATCATTCGTGAAACGTTTGATTCTATCTATTACCGGAGGACCTCGTGTCATGATAATTCTTTATTATCGTAAAAATTATCTTCTTTGCCTATTTATGATGTTGTAAAACTATTTAATAATGTGTATGTTTCATTTTTCGCTCAATTGTCTATTGTTCTGTCGAATTTATTGACGCGTTTATTATATTATTTGAGGAAACTGAATGTATTTTAGAAATTGAAAGGATATATGATATTAAGACTATTTTTCCTCCCTAATATTTTCAAAAAACTATTAGATGGTGATCAGTAAAAAATTCTGAATAAAACTTTATACTCAGATTTTCGGAAAACTTGAAAAAACTGTTTGAGAAGTTTTTTAATCTCAGGATTTTTGGAATAGTTTTATTGTCAAATTTTAATGCAACTTTCGCTGGTGTATATGCAATCGATTATACTGAGTCCAAATGTCACAACTATTTTGTTTGAAAAATTTACTATGACTAAGAAAATAATTATGTTTAGTCTCACTAATCTGGTCAAATAACTTTGACAAAAATGTCACTTCAGAACTTTTCTACGATCTCTTGATGAATAGAATCGCTCAAAATATATTTTACACAGTTTCATAGCGAAAGAAGCGATTTTTTTTTTGTCAAAACTGTTTTTCCGATTTTCCTGAGGCGATCCTAGCCTTACGATTTCGATGAAAAAAAGGTTGAGGAAAACCCTGAATGGTGTGTCATTCCGCTTATTTTTTTGGCATAGATTGCGAATATCAGATTCATTTCTTTAGGTGATGTTTTGATAGAGCATAAAAAACTGCATCGAACTGTGTATATTAAAGAATAGATGGAGATTTATTTAATCCGTAGTTTGCGTAACACCGACAAATAATTCACCATTTTTTGCTTATTTTCAATTTTTTATGTAGAAAAGGCATAGGAATATGTATTTCATTGGAATTTTTCTCGCATGAGCCAGATGCATCTGATAAGTAAAATGCATTTTTACCATAGTAAAAATTGTTAAGACCAAACATAATTTTTTTCATAAGTGTTTTTGATATTCTGAGATACAAATTTTAGGATATAAATCACTTTAGTTGTGGATATCAGCTTCAACATCGAACGTTTCGAGATACTCTTTGACGGGTAAACTACTTCTGCAATTGTTTTCCCTTTTTTTTTATAGTTGTTTTGCACAATAACTTTAGGTATTGGACAGCTTCAGTTTAGTTCTTTAAAGTTACAGCTGTTCTTCACTTCTTTTCAGAAGAACGGCAACCTATTAGTTCTGCAGATATTTCATAATGGTGTCTGTTCGTGATTTTTCTAATTTTTCATTATTTTAGTTTTGGGAGTAAGATTCGCTCTCAAACCTAAAAAACTAACTGAGAACTAGGAATTTACTGTCTTTAATAGTTTCCAGAAACTTTGTATTGCTGTTATCAAGGTGTATGTCGATTTGTAGATTTCTGTTCAATTATATGGGCGGTTATTTATATAAAGAAAATTACTATTAGAACGAAATGCTGAACTTTATTTTTTAATATAGCAATAAAGAGTCTCATGTGCAGTATATTCTGAGCCAAATGGTTTTCGAACGGCTAAAACTAGACTATTAGATCTTGGGATAAACTATATAGAAAAATGACGAGCTCTTTATAATCATGAAAGGAAAAGAAGTTGCGAATGATTGTATTACTCCACTTCACATAAAAACTGATATCGTCATGTACATAGCCCGTTCAGAAATTTAAAAAAATCCTCTGCATAATAGGCTTAGGCTTCAGAGAGTATCTCGAAACATTCGATGTTGATATCTTAATCTTAACAATTCGATAGCTGATATCTACAACTAAAGTGATTTATATCGTAAAATTTATATCCTCAGGATCTCTAAACACGTTATTCAACAAAATGTCTGACGCAGTCATCTAACTTTACTCAAAAGCCCGCTAATCTCTCTTTGTCAACACTCGCGAGATTTTCACTTTCGTACCAAAAGTGTGAGGCATAATAGGACATATATCAGAAAGTCTAAGTTGGTTGTGTCGCAACCTTTGTTTCTGGCCTGTGTGTTACCGTAGCCTGAGAATTCAAAATCTCTTGTGAAAATGTCTAGGATTTCAGATTTTTAGTTTATGTATCTACTTTAATACTCCATCTCTGCAAATCTCGACCTCTCCTTGAAAAACCTTAACTCCTTAAAAAATTATATTTATCGACAATTTATTCTAAACGTTTAAATTGTAAGTTTGATGTTGCTAAGTTAAAGAAACCACAAAGTACATTTTAATAGAAAAGGCATTGAATTCTCTTATTTCAGTTAACAATTATGAAGAATTTGTATTTCTTTATTTGCGAGTCTATACATACGCGTCTATTGTGATAATTTTCTTTTCTTTTTGTTAACTATACGTATAGTTGGTCAAACAAATTTGTCTTGGATTTTTTCAGCTGTCTGTTAACAAAAGACCTGTATTCTCTAATAAATAAATTGCTGTTGACTTTCAGAGTTAATTAAAATTCTCTTTCTCTCACCTGGCATATGTGATTAACAATGAAGATTCTCGTCTATTCTTTGCTTTTCTGCAATCATCGTATATTCTAAAGACATTTCATAACTATAAATGCTGATCTATGTAATGAAGTAGTTGTTGAATACTGTAATTTGTGATTATTTCCATTATAAAATTAACCACTTGTCCGTAAAACGTAAAACACGTGTGTATCGATCCATCTATTTGAATAAAAATCAAATGTGACAAATATGTGCTCGTGGATGTTGATTCTTTCTCTCGTAATCTTTTGTGATTTTATTACAATAGGTAAAAAAAAGAATAAAACGAAGGGATTATTATGTTGTTGTTATTTCGAATCTTAAAATGGCAGCACCACTGAACATATCAGTTAATATTATTTCCTTACGGTCGTTGATCTTTTGACATTTTATTTTTCACCCTCTAGCTATGTGTATATTTCGTTTAGTTCTTCAACCACAAAACAGAAAACAAAAAAAAAGAAAGATATATTCTTCTAATAAGTAGTCAACCATTCTAAATCATAATCTTTACTATACTATTATAATTATAAATCTAGTGAATTGAGCAATCGGTTTCTTTTTCTTGTTAAAGCATTAAATATTAAATATACACTAGTTCTTTTCTTCTCATACATACCTATATAGATGTATTTCCGAAAAAGGTACAGGTTGCACTTTCTCGTAAAATGAGTTTTCTAAAAGTATTTAATGTAAAAAACCTATTGAAAAACATTTTTGGTGAGAAGTATTAAAGCTGTTCTAACTAATATTATCATTCAATAAGCACAAGAAAAATGACTTTAATTTCTGAAAAGTAAGTAACTTGTAATGAGAAAAATGTTGATAATATTCTAAGATATTTAGAAGAAATCTGTCTAAGGCTAAGTATGGACTATGAATATTGTGAGATGATTAACTTTTTCACATTACACATGCGATGTTTTTTATTCATGCCATCTACTGCAGGATAGTGGAATTAATTTGGCATAGTTAGAATGTCATTAATACTGTCCTACTGCTCTGCCTTTTGATACGATACGTAGCAGCACATAGCAAGTAAAAACAAAATTTTCTTGCTTGCGTCAGCTATTTAAACGAATTCGTGGAATAATCTTTTATCCTATGTCCTAATTAAAACGTAAAATTCGAAAAAATCGTGTGATATCTGCACTTTTTTCTCATTCTTCATCATTATACAAATATATAAGTCCGATTGGTTCTCTCTTTTTCACAAATTCTATTCGTTGTATTAATGTTTTTTTCCCTCTCGTTCTTCTCTACTAACTGCGACAAAAGAGAATGCACATTTATATTTGTGAACAAATGTAAAATTTAGCTGTTATCAGTAATTTTTTTTTTTTTTCATTTATTTGCCTGTTCTGAGCCCATAGACTCTATAGCAAATAAATAAAAGAAAAAAAAATGCGTTTAGTAAGACGAATTGAATCGGAAATGTCTATTTTCAATAATAATTTTATGGATTTTGATAATAATAACAATCATATTTATGCTGAATCAGATGGCAGAAGTTCACCGTCGTATGATTTTAATAGTGAAAATAAATTAACAGATGATGATGATGATCGAGAAGAAAAATCAAGTCGAAAACGAACAACAAAAGTATTAACAAAAAATAGTCGTAGTCGATTAATAAAAGGTCGGGTAAAAAAGTCTAAAAAGAAGAAAAATATACGACGTGGACGAGGAAAATCGATTATCAATGAACATTTACTATTATTCAAAGATGATGATGAAGACTACGGCGCTCATGATGAAGATAATAATAATATATTTCCACCACAATCATTGGCACAACGTCATGCAGCAAATCTTCGTGAACGAAAACGTATGCAAAGTATTAATGATGCTTTCGAAGGTCTAAGAACACATATACCCGTACTACCCTATGAAAAACGACTATCCAAAGTTGATACGTTACGTTTAGCAATTGATTACATAGCATTTTTAACTGATTTATTAGATCAAGACAGTATTTATAATAATCAACGTTTTCGTCAAAATATTAATATGATTGGTGGAACATGTCCCAATATAAATCAAAAGAAAATAATCTTAAATTGTCATTCAGACGGTAAGAATAATGAATATTTTTCTATAATGAATTTTGAGTTTAATGTAGAATTTATTCAAGAATGCATTCTCTAATGTTGAATTAGAAATGATATTCGAACGTCAGATTTCAGTATAAAATTCTCTAATAGACACGTCTTTATCATCAAGAAAGGTAACGAATCTATAAATCACTTGAACGTATATATTTTAATTATCATCGTTAGAAGATCGAATAAACACAACGGGACAAAACTAATAGGCATTAACAGATCATAGAGAGATCTAGAATTATCTATCGACTAAGAAATACTTGTTAGTTAACGAAAGCAGAAATAAAGTTGAATGAAGAGGTAGACGTGTGTGTCTGTCACATAACAAATTATTTATAAATCAAAGCCGATACTAACTAAATTAACTTTTACTGTTCAATAGACGACTAAATTTAATTTCAAATATGTTTAATTTTAAATCGGATACTCATTGATTATTAGCGGGATAGTTATTTTTATTTTAGTTTGTCTATGTCGGTGAAATTTTTACATATGTTTTAAAATACAAAAGACGACATGCTGTCTTTCTCAACTAATTTAAAGTTAGTTGATGGTTGTTATCAAGAAATATGTAATAATCTCAAATGATTTCATCAATATTATTCTCATCATTTCACATACCATCGATGAAGTAGAGTCGAGAGAAATATTTATTTATTCATATAATCATTTAGAAATTGTTATGTTGATTATTATTGTTGTTGTTATTGAATACTGATCTAAGTATAAAAGACAAGTTCACTTAAGAATATTTTGTAATCGAATGATACTCAATATGTATATATGTGTCGAGTAGAAAATAATACGTTGAGATCATTTATTTTATTATATGAAGAATAAACGAAACGAACATCTTGTGAAAATCAGAATAGAAAGTTTCTAATCAAGAAACGAAAGTTGTTTGATTTTATCCCTTACTATTTTACAAGTACAAAAAACTATCTAATATTTATATAGAGAATTTTTTCATTGTTTTTAAAGACATGTGACTAGTGTTGATATTTTACTAATAGTAAAATCTATTCTTTATCGATAAATTTTGTTAATAATAATGTGAATAGTGCAAAAATCCCACTTGAATTGGTTAATAGTTAACAGTTAAGATTACAATAAAATTTGTCGATTTGTTTGCAAACTACTTATTCTTATTCTTCCTCTAAATGTAAATAGATGTGTGTTTAAGTGTGTTATGCCCATTAATCTAGAGAGAATTATCCAACACTTATAACAATAATGGGTAAACAAACCAGTATTGGGAAGGAGTTAGTCATTTTTTTTTTTAAAAAACTTGATAACTTCTGATTGACATTTAACCGGATGATATACGCAATGATTGGTCTCTGAACAACTTGAAACTAATTTATCATCATCATTTTATTTAATAAATGCTACTAATATCTATTCGATGTATATTAATGAGTTAGAGAGGAAGCTCATCAATGATGTTCAGCTCTCATATTTTATCAGCTGCCACTGCAATTCGCCAAAAAAAAAATGATCGACTATTTTACATGAACAGAACGATGAGCAATTAATAATCATTATTATACTCATCTTTTTGGATGAGAAATGAATATAAGAGTAAGAAAGATGATATGTGAATCTTTAATGGTCACCAATTACGTTCATCTCGAAAACTAGTGAAAATGGAACAATTATTATTTGAAATCTTGTAATATTGCAGATAAAAAAACAAGTTGTTCAAAGTGATTCTTCTCCACAGTTTGATTATTCTAAACTATGTGTGATTTCTAAGTTATCTTAAAGAGGAATTGAGACTGTGTGTTTTAAATTAACGAAATTCTTTGGAATTATAAATCTTTGATCTCCTACATATAATTACTAGTATAACTGATAGACATAATTGTTTTCCGTATAGTAAATTTACAATTAGTCTATTGACATAAATGTCTCTATAATACTAAATCACGTATTTCAAGTTTGTTTAACAACATAAAAAAAGAAAGAAGCCGACTCATTTTACTCATTGTTATAACTACTATAAAGATGGTCGAACTATATAGAGGCAAATAACTCTTGTCTTGTCTGCTAAGAATTGTATTATAATTTTATGTATTCATACATATACTCACACACATCATAGTTGTAGGAAAAAAAAATCTGTATTGGTATCTAATCAAAATGAAAGTTGCATCATACTAGTTATTAACTCTTTATTTTTCAAACAAAAAATTTCTCATCTTTCACCCATTTCTACTTGATTGAATGACAATGATTAATCTAATCTTCGAGTGGTCTCTTCTGTAGACGACAGAGGATAGAAAGTACCTATTTTTTCTCTTTTCTGTTCGTTTACGGTGTGGGTGTGATATTGATAACACAGAGAGAAAAGAGAGAGAGAGAGAGAGAGAGAGAGACAGAGAGTCAAGTTTTTTTCATCACGTCAAACTTGAAACAATTTCAATGATATTTAGCAAAACATCATCATCAAGTGACTGATTGTGCGATCGGTAACTTCTTTTTAACACTAGGAAAAACAAACAAATGGAAGATGTTTTTAGTATAGATTTCGAAAAATATTGTTCTCACTGCAATAGAATCGTTGTGAAAATTTGTTCTATGGCTAAATTGATAGTCAATATCTAAAAAATATTCTACTTATACTTATCGTAGTAAAACAATCATTTGAACTTTTCGTCTTCTAAAAAGTGTTTTGTTCTTAGACCGATAGTTTTGTTAAATTGTTTATTTTTAATCATTTTAGAGCCAATTAATATTACTGGTCATTCTTTATCATGGTTTGATAATTTTCCCACATATGTCACAACTTCACCTTCGATTGATCATGCTTGTAATCCTTATCAATCTAATATCGTAATAACAGCTAAAATATGGATACCAGAAATTATGTCGTCGAATCAATCGCTTAATACTTCATCGGAAGAACCAAAATGTGATATTGATTGTGCAAGTTATAGTGAAGAAGAAGAACGACAACAAAATATGGATGAAAATGGTCGTCAATGTTTATTGAGAAAACCGACAATTGCCAGTAATTTTAAACATGATTATGTAAGACACACGACTCCAACAACAATAAGAAATCAAATGATTGTCGATGATTTACAGTATTCACAGAATACATCCGTTAATAATAACACAAATACTAGTGGTTTATGTTATTATAACGAATTTATTGACATGGCCGGTGACTGGTATACGAGATTACGCAATGATAATTATTGTCCTCCAACAACATCATGTTCATGGTCAAGAAATGATGAAACCGGAAATCATTTAACAACAAACGGAAATTTAACAATGCCATCATTATCTGATGATCATTCTTCACCAATTTCCTCTTCATCCTCGCCACCATCTCATACATCTGACACAACAAGACATTTATTTGATATAAATACAGCAATTGGCTTCTCCAATTCACAACGTCTACAATATGAAAATGAACAACTAATGGAGACAACATCCGTTGTTTATCCACATCCACCACCTCTGATATGTCTACCAACATCATATAATAATAATCTACTCGATTCTACATATTACGCAACATTAGCAAATGGTTTTGGGCAACAATCAGATTATCATGTATTTTCATGTGGATGATGATATACCGAAGAAAACAATTAGCTACAAAAACAGATTCACTTATTGTAAGAAAAAAAATTAAATTAAATTAAATTAAATTAAAATTAACAGTCTCTTTTCTCTCTACCGTAGTAGTTTTATTCTATTCTACTGTTATTTTTTGTTTTCTATTTGTTTTTGTTTTTCTCTTCTGCTTTGTACAACATTGTTATAATTATTAAGCATATTCAGGTTGAACAATAAAAGAAAATCTGTTTATGTTGCAATTTGCATGTTGCTGTACCAGAATAGGATAATTCAGAAGCATTAATAGTCTCGCATCTCGTAATGTGTGAGTATACTAACAGAATACGACTGGTATATATACATATCTGCGTGTTTTTCTATAAAAGAGTAAAAATCAATTATATTAATAGTGTGTATGTGAATGATATTTTTTATCGATATAACACGCCTTCGGCTTTTCAAATAGATGGATATAATTATCGTCGTTTCTGAACAATATGTTATGGTTAAAAGAGGCTTGAACTGAATGCGACACGCGTACACACGTATACACGCATATTACTACAAGTGTATAACACTCATCTGAAGTTTGAGGCACACATTAATTTATTTCGTTAAAATCAACAAAATTAAAGTTATACACTATTATCACACGAAAAAGAAAAAAAGAAAAAAAAAAGAAAATTTTCTTCGAAAAAAATAGTGATAAAGGAAATGTATATGCGATATCTATTATCGTGTTATCAACGATACTTCATCTACAATTTGTCGAACTATGAGAAAATTGACAGCTGGATTTTTTTCTTCTTTTTACTATGCTTCTTGTTTGTCAACATATCAATATCTTAAAACAAAGATCAACTTTCGAATGTGAAACAAGACAAAAAAATAATAACTGTCGTTATAATAGTTTGATGTTTACTTTTAATTGAAAGCGAACAAATAATTCAGTTTAATTTCGTCTACTTTTTTCTGTAACATGTTGATATTATAGCAGAAGAACAGGATAGAAAGAATGATCAAGTGATTTAACTTTGTTTTCAGAAGAACACTAACATTTCTCTTTAGTATCTAAGTGTTTAGATCCTCTTCAACCAGTGTATTTGTGTACTACTCGTTTTCCCGTTCAGGAAAGATTAAAATGTACTTAAGTGTTTTTTTCATAAAATTATACAGTTTTCCTTCGAACATACGGTTCGTACTTCCCCAGGATCTTAAAAAGATCTCAATTTTTTACCCCACAGAGACAGATTATTGGAAGCGACTTGGCTAGACAAGCGAAGATCAAAACACTGTGAGTCACTCTGTGACGTAAAACCCATTCTTAAACAACGGATTTGCTGATCTCAAAAACATTTGTTGAAATTACCAAACATTTCTTTAAAAATTTGAACTAGACATTAGTTTCGTAGAATGTAGAGAAAATCATATGTAAAACTAAAGAACAAGAAAAAAAGGTTATTACAGTACAAAACAACAACAAAATTAAGCTCATTATTTACAAAAATGGAGATTATGTTGGTGCTGTTTCTCCAAATACTTTGAGTACATCACTAGTAAAAGTCGGTGCGCATCGATACGCGTGACATACTATGTTGTATTGATACAGATATATCTCGGTGAGTATAGGATATATTTTTACTGAAAAAGTGCCATATGCATAATTAGAATGAAGTCAGTGAAACCTTATGCGTATTTGAGCGTGTTTTCTCATTGTGGATTTTATATGAGACCACATAGAACTACAATATCAACAGATACATCTTCATATGTATCATCGTTAAAATGTTTAATATTTAATTTCGTAACATTTTTGGTTTTCAGTTTTTGTTCTTGTTCTTGTTCTTGTTCTCATGCATATCTAATGTTTTAATTGTACTTTTAATAATTAAACAGATACTGTTACCCAAGCAAAGACTTTTATGTGCGACTTTGACTTGGAAATGGTAGAACTTGTCCACCTCTGCGATCCGGACATCCATTGACTATTTGCTCCATATTCATAACCGAAATTCAGCGTATGGGTGACTTACTTATTGATAACGAACATGGAAAATGAAATCAATTAAAACTCGTTCAAGAATATTTTTCTCTACACTGTAAAAAAAACAAGCGCCCCAGGGCACTTTTTCCGACGATGAATGAGTACTTTGAAAATGGAGCACTTTCTAGAGCAACTGTCAACGTTAAAACTGAAAAACAGTGCCCCATAGTGGAGCACCTTTCAAAGTTTCCCACTCATCGTCCCATGTCTCGTATACCGTTACTAACAAACTTAATTTCCTTCCTCAATGCATACGTAAAGCAAGTGCCGTTAATATCGACAATTAACTTTTTCTTTGCAGAGATTAACATTTTTAAAGAGATATTACCGAGGTCGACGAAAACTGGCATTTAATTCTCCATTGACAGTCTGTTAACTATATGCCAGAAAATGGCCTGTTAATTGTGTAAAAATCGAATGAAAATTGGCTTTTAACAGCCATTATAATGACGTTTTTTTGACTTTGAAATAATAACGGTGAAAATAATGCCAGTTTATAATCAATGTCCGAAAAAATGTGATTTTACGAACACCATTAAATGACATTTTCGTCCATTTATTAGACCACGTTAACTAATGCCAAATAAATGTGCGTGTTACATGTCCGTTTTAAGGCAGTTTTTCTCCATTTCAAAATGGCAAAAAACTGATCATAAAATTGGCATTTAATAGCCAGTTTATGGTCACCAAGTCATTCACCGTTTTATTTTGCCGTTATGACTAGTATGAATGACTCTGATACTCCTAAAATAATTTTAGAGTTTTTCTCTTCTTTAATTATATGAGTCATAGAAACTTACCTCGAAGAAGTGGTCTGTGGTTCTTTGATCGATACAGGTGATAGTATCTTAGATTTCAGAAGATATTTCTTTCACATTTTCTAACGGTCTAAAAATTGATATTTAAACGGCAAAAAATGTGATCAGCAGGGTTACTGGCAGAGTTAAATGTTTATTATCTGACCGTTTTCTGACATTTAAAAAAATGCGAAATAAATGCATTTAAACGTTCTCAGTTATAATGGCAAAAAAAACGGTCTAAAAACGGGGTCAAATGTCATAAAAATTCCATTTAAATGCTTATTAATAGCGTATTAAATGGCATTTAATTGGCAAACAATTAATTACACCGTTTTCGACGTCCTGGGTATCCTTATCATTGTCACTTTACCCTGTACACAACATGTGTGACACACTCATATACAATGAAAAATGTTAAACTTTGATTGACACAACGCTCAGCTATTGATACCCGTTTTGCTTTGGGACATAAATGCCTTTTTATAAAGCAAACAAAAAGATTCTTTTTAAACTTCAACTGTTATATGTGAACATTCTAAAGTATTCGGATCGAAATGCAAATATTAATAGAAATAACAGAAATGCAACGATTCTTTGTTGTTTTAGTTAATTTCTTTATCTTAATTAATATACGTTTGTCGGTGATCTACTATTTATTTACACGTGTTTCAAAAAATATTCCAAAATGCTTTGTCTGAAGTTTTTTTATTTCAAAGTTTCTCTTTGACTATATATATTATATGGCGTGCTTATTTGAATTGAAAAAGAAAAATGAGAGAAAATTTTTCTGTCCCATAAACTACTTGAAAAACATTTTCAATAAAAGTTCTCTTGATAGTCATCAGCAACATTGTTGTGTACAAAAATCATTTGTATTGTGTGTTTTTCTTAACTAAACGATCACATTATTATCTTGATGTCGTCATACAAAACCAACGTAATGTTCTAAATTTCCTTATAACGTATGGAAATTTAATCGTCGCTCAAGCGTCATTTCGTGCTAGGAGGTTATAATACAGAAACTGAGGTAAGTAACACAATCTCATCAGCACAATCATTCACTCTTTTAGGTAAATGCCACTTTTATTTAAAATTAGTGAAATGACAATTTTAAATTGTAATCAGTTGAACAAATACATTTTTTTATTTTATAAAACGCTAATCAAAACACATATAACTTTTATTGTAGCAAAGTAAATAATAAAGAATTTAAAAGTCTAATTAGACTTAGATTTTTAACCTGTCGTTTTATTGTTCACACCAGTGACTCTAATGTTAGAGACAAAATCTTTTTATTATTGTACGATTTGGGCAAAGAACGATGATGTTGATGATGGACCATAGAAAAACTGGATCTTTCAACAGTTTGTAGTCGGTTTTCATGCTATCGGTTGATGGACAAGGGTATGGTTCTTTTCTTATGCGCACAATGATTCATGAGGTGTTAAGCATTTACGAAAAAGCAATTGCGTCACTGGTATTTGTGTGAATAACTTTAGTTAATACAAGATGAAGATTAAAATTAAATGTGACTAAGCAGGCTTCTACAATAGTCCAACGTGTTGTAGCTTATGAAAGCGATAGCTCTTTTTCATAATTCTATGATGTTCTTTGAGCAAGATTACCATAGGCCCTTGTCTTTAATGACTGCTAGAAGTGCGTTCAAAAATTTTTCGAAAAAAAAGTGTGTGCTTGAATTTTTTTAAAGTTTTGTTTAATCTTACCTTATCAGATTCATATTAACCAGTGGCTTAAAAATTCGCTACACATTGTTGAAAGGTGCTATATTTCCTTTTCTATGATTCACTATGGAACGCCTACACTACCACTCAGTCCGTTTCTCGATGTTAATTACTATTCATTTTATTATCTAGGATACTTGTGTTTACCATTGCTAGAATCCAGATAAATGGCAGCCGTAGCCGATTCACTTGAATCCAATCTTTCTCAAATGGAACAATATCTGTCAACAAACCCTTATCGAGAGTATGCCATGCATCGACCCTATTTACCATCAAATAAATCACTATCATCATTAGTGCAAACAACGGGCACATTTAAACGTCTAAATAATAATGCTATAACAACAAAACTTTCATCAACCTATCATGAACTTATCGATAATCGAAAACCAATTGTTCTAGACCGTTTAACCTATAAACTTCGTATGAAATCCAATTTGAATGTCAATAATCTAAATGAATCAAAATCAAATCATTATAATAATGATTTGTTACATCAACTAACTACATTAAAAACAAGTCGTACGATGCATCATGCTCCAACAATTATTAGTGCAACGACAACAAATACGAACACGATGCCAAGTATGAAATTGAATTCATCATCGAATGATCAATCAACATCCGATATCATGGTGCAAGCAAATGCTATGCATGTTGGTACATTAGACGACCTTATCAAACAATTTCGTCGTGCAGAATACAAAATTATCAAACGTCCCGATCTCAACAGCGCTAGCACTAACCAATCTTCAATATCGACCAAACAATCAGCATCTGAGAGAACAAAACATAAGCTAAGTCAGCCATTAACTGAGTACCAGCTGAATGTTCCATTATCAAGTGGCAATTATCAGCGTTCTCCAACCACTATTCTCGACAACAATAGTGGTAAAACCATCAACGCATATTATAAAGATGATATGCATCAAGGTGTGGTGTATCACTATCGAACACGTGAACGTACTGATTACGGTTTTCAATTACCAAATGAAATACAACATACTCGTACGCCCGTACCATCATATCAACAATCAACAGAACGTTTACATGACAGTGAAGTAAACCGAAAAATCAACAACGATAAACGTATTAAAAATGCTCGCGAAAAAGTGGAAAATCGAAATGAAAAAAAAGTATGTATTTGTAATAAACTAACAATTATTGATCCATTTCATAATTTAAATGTTGATGATGTTGATGATGGCCAATTACCTCATTTAAAACACCATGTACCATCTGTACGATATATTTTTCCCCCTGTACGTCCTTTTGGTTACTTCACAAGAAAAAAACAATCTACTGACGACGACAATATGACTCCTCCGCCACTACTACCAAAACCAAAAACGAGACGTCGACGACGTAAAAAACAAGTACAACATGATTCAGCAACAACAGGAAATAGTGACAATGATACATTGAAAAATGATTCAGTTGCGGAAAAAGATGATGATTATGACATCATTACGTTAAATGGAACATTGGATGACGCGCAGAACAGTTTTGAAGAAAGTGTACTCAACTTCAATGCACCACTTCTGAGTACAGATGAACAACAAAAGCGTTGATTCGAACAGGATCCTTCAATTAAGATTGGGAGTGGAACCTCACCAGTCTCGACCTTATGACTTAGTTAGAAAGTCAGGACATTGACAAACAGAAGTATGTCATCCGATCAGTGAATCTTAACAGCCCTCCCTGAATTTATGATTTTCTGTCGTCGATAAATGTTCTGCTCAATTCTTTCTTTTCCCTGAGTAGAGATTTGCTCGAACATTGAAAAAATCCTGCTGGCTCAACTAGGGTACAGCGCATATGTGTAAAAAGCCATTTGTTTTCTTGTTGACCATTTTCTGTAGGGTGTCTTTTTCACCGCTTTTCGTCAAAACTTTAGTATTTAAAGCGGAATTCTTGCATTAGATTATCTGCAAATCTGTTTGAGTCA